AACTGAATCAACCCGTGCTTATGCCACGGGCGCCACAGTAAACTTATGCACAATGATGACGGAGGACTCTGGTGAATCCCGGCGGCCCACACGCTAATCAGCTGTGCCACCCACGACACTCCAATCACACGACAGCCCGTCACGTCTCGCCACGCGTACATGCGCCTTCGTTCTTAGAATCGCTGTCTCCCCGCTCTCCCCCAGCATACCAGCCTGCCTTATGCGTCGTCTTTTCCTTCGCCTTTGATGTCATCATCGGCGGGGCCCGAACCCAGCCAATCTAGCCTCTTCGCATCCTCCGGGCCCCCGATAGTCGCGTCGTGCGCAAATCCGATGTCGCATGGTGCCCAATCAGGGATGTCGTTGGGGTACACTCCAAGCGTGACTTTCGCCTTCCCAAGCCTCTCCGTGACGACGTTCGCGGCGCGGACGACAGATCCGCAAAGTAAAACACTTCGTAGTGACTGCGCGGATCGTCTCCCGCCATGCGGGTAATCCACATGGACGCCGCCAGCAACAACCTGAAACAGTCAGCCACCCGACATAGACGCTCGTAGGAGATGAAATCGCCGTCGATGTGAGCGCCCATTTGCACCGCTACGCGGAACGAATGCGCGATGCTGATGACGGTGGACTCCTGGTACACAGCCATGTCGTCGTCCTCAGGTCTGTCCTCGATATTCGCACCGTCGTACCACAGTGGAAGGTCCATGTTAACATCTATCGTGCGGGCGCAGATCAGCACGCTGACGACGTTGCGCCACTCCTCGTCGTACCACATTGCACGCGCAATGTCCGTCGCTATGGACTCCAACGAGTACTGGAACGCAAGGTTGTACCCCCTTGGGCGGTTCCCGTACTTGAAAACCCAGCCGTGGACGCTGCACGGGAGATCGCCTGCTGGAGCTGTGATTGGTCTGCGATCCTCGCCACCCTCGTGCTGGATTTGGGGACGACAACACTCCGCGGAAGTTGAGGTGGCGTAAGCCCGCTGGCGATGGCGACAAAGTACTTTTTGGTTTCGTGGACGATGTTGTAAAGTCTGCATCCTTCACCCGTCGTCCAGAAACATTTGTCATCCACCCAAAGAAGCGCACGGTCGATAAGTTCATTCGTCATTACTCCCCTGCGTGCCCGGCTTGAAGCGGCCTCGCCGCCGTCGCGTTGGTTCGTGTTCTGTCCACGACCCTCCTCTCTCACCGTCGCTGGAACTGTAGCCTCCTCTCTTGCCGCCGGAACGGGAGGGACAACACCTGCAACAGCCACACCCGCGCCACCTGCCGCCTCCCCTCCTGCTGCACGCGCGTCTGCCACGACTCCCCCCCCACCACCTCGTTGGCGAGACGCACCGTCACCACCGTCGTTGCGCTGACGCGGTAGAGACGGCGTGCAGGGCAGTGCACCTGTGATCGGCCTTTCGTCGTCCGCAGCGCGAGCTGTCGACACCGCCGCTGTGGTCGCTTGTGTCGCACTGCGCAGGCGACGTCTCTCCAAAGGCTCGTCGTCTTCGCCGCCAAGGTCCACCACAACACCCTTCTCTTTCCACGTTTCGCGGATACGCAGCTGCTGCGCCTCCGGCGGAGGGTTTGACATCCTCTTCGAAGCGCTCTGATCCGTTGTACGCTGCCTGGCACTCTCCCGTCATGCAGACGCCGTCGCCTCGCCTTGATCGTCCTCCGTCATGAAATCATCGTCGTTGTCAACTTCCGCCGCCTGCGACCAACCTCGCGCACCACGATGCGGCACGCTTGCTGACGCATCATCCAAACGTAGCCTCTTCGCCTTCGGGACGTGCCGACGACCTTTCCCCTGGGCTTGGGTTTCGTCAAGCACGACATCGCGCTTCTTGCCACGGACGTTCAATCGCGCAGACATGCTTGCTGGGGACCCCCACAAGCGATCTCGGTGTAGCGCTCGACTGACGTGTGCTGTTTCGTTGAAAAAGATGTCACCCGTCTCTTGCCTGCCTGGCCAGACAGGCTATCCCGACGACGCTGAAGATGTGTCCTCCGCTGCAAGTGACGATGACGCCCAAGCGCACCACGAAAGGATGATGTCCCCGACGACACCTGTCCTTCGCAATGGCAGGAGTGCTCCACGGCAAGAAGACTGACTGCCAGAAGAGCGGAAGCGATTATGGTGATAAGCGTTGTGGCACTGCAGATGCGCGGCGGGAAGTGTGCAGCTGGCCCGGCGAGAAGCGTTGTGGCACTGCAGATGCGCGGCGGGAAGTGTGCACCTAGCACGACGAGAAGCGTTGTGGAATCACCCTCGTGCGGACGACATTTATGCGGCTCCGGACGCGCAGCACTGAAATGACACTAGGAGAAAGACCGTCCACGACGTCGCGTCCTCTTGGCGGGAAAACGGAACGACGACGGCGACACGTGCTACCGCCATGCCTGTCCAGGCCTGTCATTATCAACCTCCCGAAGCCGCGATAAGGCCCTTCCACGTTCGGTCGACGCGCGCGAATGCACTCCGGAAGGACCAAAACCAAGACGGCCCACCTTCACCAGCGGACACCCTCGTAGCAAACGACCCCTCCATAACC